TTCAATGGGGAGCTCATTCCACCATTTTGGAGCCAGGATAGCAAACCCACGTGTTTTTGCTGATGGGAACTTGGGTCCCCCTCGCAGTGCGGGTGCGGCCAGCTGTGAGTTGACATTCGAATTCAGAATGAGGAGTGCACGTGCTGGGGTGTACGGTTTAACCATGTCCTGGATGTAGGAAGGGCCAGATCCATTCACAGCATGGTACGCAAGTACCATTGTCTTGAAGTGGATTCTAGCAGTTACTGGAAGCCAGTGAAGGGAGCGGAGGAGCGGCGTGGTGTGGGAACATTTAGGAAGGTTGAAGACCAGACGAGCCGCTGCATTCTGGATGAGCTGCAGAGGTCGGATGGCACATGCAGGTAGACCAGCCAGGAGGGAGTTGCAGTAGTCTAGGCGTGAGATGACGAGAGCCTGGACCAGAACCTGCGTCTCTTTCTGGGTCAGCTGGGGACGTATCCTCCTGATGTTGTAAAGAGTGTATCTGCAGCAGCGGGTTGTAGCAGCGATGTTTGCAGTGAAGGACAGTTTGTTATCTAGGGTCACACCCAGATTCCTTTCAGTCTGAGTCGGAGAAACAACAGAGGGGCCGATGTTGATTGTTAGGTCAAGAGTGGGACAATCTTTTCCCGGAAGGAAAAGCAGTTCAGTCTTGTCAAGGTTGAGCTTGAGGTGATGAGCAGACATCCACTGAGAGATGTCAGCTAGACAAGCAGAGATGCGTGCGACGACCTGGGTCTCTGAGCGGGGAAAGGACAGAATTAATTGGGTGTCGTCAGCGTAGCAGTGGTATGAAAAACCATGCGGGCTAATGACAGATCCGAGCGAGTTTGTGTACAAGGAGAAGAGGAGGGGACCAAGAACAGAGCCCTGAGGGACCCCTGTAGTTAATTGACAAGGGTCGGACTCGGACCCTCTCCAAGTTACCCTGTAGGTGTGGTCTTTGAGGTATGAGGTGAGGAGGGAAAGTGCAGAGCCTGAAACTCCAAGTTCTTGGAGAGTGCGAAGGAGGATCTGATGGTTCACCGTGTCGAATGCAGCAGACAGGTCCAGAAGGATGATGACAGAGGAGAGGGAGGCTGCTTTATCCGTGTGCATATACAATACAACAATTTAAAAAATACATATAAAATAAAATATGATACAAAATAAAATATGAATAATACTAATACTCACTGGTTGAGTGCGTCCAGGAAGGTTTTCACAGAGTCTCCGCTGATGTCCACGACCTCCAAAATCACAACGATGTCGTATCGAGAAACGATCTGCGGAGGAAAACAGGAGGGACAGGTTTGTCTTTAAACTATTTCATTAGAACATTTTACTTTCATCCAAAGCTACGACAATTTCAACCAAACTATGAAGAAACAAATCCGAACATCAAGAATCCTGCAGGTACATTTGCTCCAAATGACCCAAACCCTTTAAAGTGCTATAGTGTTTTGTGAATAAAAAGATCATATTTGAAAAAGGAGGATCGTCTTAAATGGTGGGAATCTTGATTTGTTGTCACCTTGACTAGGACTTTGAGGACATCCGGGTCGGACACTTTGGTTCTTCCAAACTTCTGGATGTTGAAAGCTGCTATTTTCATGATGGCTTTAGAGGGAGACAGGAAAAAGACAAAAATATCAATAACGATATATATTTGGTACTTTAATTAGTCTGTTGGTGTTTGAACACGCACAGGCATGTTAAGATTTACTGTCACTACAGTGTGTGTGTGTGTGTGTGTGTGTGTGTGTGTGCGCGCCTCACATAAACCTGGCACCTTCTTAACTCCCACATGGAGTACAATGGACAAAAATGTGCCCGTCGTAGTTTCAGTACAGGCTGTTAATATGAAATACTTCTGGCACCAAGTTTTATGAGTCTGACTTCAAACAGCAGGTGTCTTTAAAGTTTTAAGGGAAGTCGTCACAGCCACTCTTAAAGTCAGCTAGGATCACCGGCATACTAAAAACCAGACGGTATAGGACTAAAACAAAGTCTAAAATACAAAATAAATGTTAACACACGATTGTTGAAGCAAAACTGCCCAATTGTATTTGTACCAGATTTTACACAGAATGTATTTTATACACTTTTTGTTGGATACAACTCTTTGAGCATGCGGACTTAAAACACTAGTGAATTATAATAATGACCTGTTTTCCCCAGGAGTATCTGAGCTTTCAAACTTGAATGTATCAAGAGAAGATTAAAAACAAATGAAAGAAAATTGGCTGTGCATTTTGCACATTAACACTTGCATCTGTCACGCCCTGGCTCAAGGACGGACAAAAGAAGGAGGAGACCACACATCATTCATATCCAATTAAAGTATATTTATTTAAAGAAACTAAGCTAATTATGAAGTGAGTTAATCAGTAATGTGTGTAGTGTGTGAACATGCATCAGTATATTAACAAAGACAAACAAACCCAGGTCCAGTAGAGCCAAGCAACCCGAGAGGAGAGAGGGAGACTGCCCGCTCAGGCACCCATACTTGTAGCTGAGCAGTCACCCTAAATCAGGTGTCGGCAATCTCTCCTGATTGGGGGAGTGGCTAACAGGGACTTGAGTCTAAGGAGCCGTCACGCAACTGAGCTCTTTTAAGCAGTGTAAAGTGCATTTACTCTTTCTTTACTCAAATGGTTTCACTCCTATCTGAATCCTCTCTAAACGAGCTCCTGTAGAGATTAATACTCCAACAGGAGGGAAAATGCCGGACTCGTCCCAACATGTTCACTAACCCCCCCGTCTGCCGCGCACGCTTTGCATAAAACAGGAAAACATTCACTCACAATATTTACAGAGTCTGTGGGATATCTCACTTACAATCAGAGGGGGGAAGTAAGTCATTGCATTTACTCAACTAAGGGATTGCTCTGGTGGTGCATACGTAGACACAGTAAGAGACATTTAAATGTAAAATAAGAGCACATAAAGAAATATAAAAAAATGTTTACAAAATTTGAGAAATACACAAAATAGTCCAAAAGGAGCAAATATAAAAATATTCTTTAAAAAAAGTAATACAAAAAAAAGCTGTTTAAATATATTAAAAAAAGTTTAAAAAAGGAGCAACTCAAGAAATATATATTACATTTTTTTTTTATAAATATACAAAAATAAATTAAATAAGAAGCATTTGTTATATATAACTTAGTCAGTAATATTTTTGTATATCAATTTGACACTGCTTAATTGTGTATTGTATAATAATTCTCATGTTAAATGCTTGTATTATTGTTTTACACATTCAAAATAAATCTAATCAAACAAAAAAATCAATATAAACGGTTTTATTTTTAAAACCTATTTGTTTTACGTCAAAATACATTGCATCGATCACTTAGTGAAATCAACAAGATATATTTATCTATTGCAAAACTAAAAACCATTATTTAGTGTTGTATCAGAGTGTATTCCCTTAATCAAGACACTGACGGAATACACAGCTCACTTTCCATTTAATAAAGTTATTACCCTCGCTCTGAACAGCATCATGAAACAACAGCCTGAGGACAGCAGCGTGACTCACTGTAATCACTGTAATTTAATTTAATGTCATTTAACATTATGAATGTGGTTAGCTTGTAAATGCTGTCGTTAATCAAAGAGGAGAAACACACTTTCAGTAGATTGCACACACAGCTGGCAGCATGCAGTCTCTACTTTAAAGAGTCCTCTCCTGCTGATGTTCAGGTGTATATCAGTATGTAGTGTCTCTACTTTAAAGAGTCCTCTCCTGCTGATGTTCAGGAATTGTCTTGCAACTTTTAATTCATAAATTAATCACGAACTCCTTATCCCAGAAAGTATTTACACTTGTCTAGTTTTGTTATTGTAAACAACTTCTTATCTGTTATTATTCTGTGTCTAATAAATAGTTCAAGTTGAACTCAAGTTGTTTCTCACCTTTAGGACGAGGAGGGTCTGCAGTGAAAATCAGACGAGTTTATCCCCAAAGAGTTAGGAGACATGGTGGCCAGGCGACGTGATTGGTCAACAGCCGGGATTTATTGTTTGCATTGTTCCTCCTCATGTTGTGTTCATGTTTATAATGTATTATTATATATTATTTATTATTGTGTGTCACTCCTGATTTGTTTTCTCCCTTTTGCACCAAAAAGTCCTCAATTATTTGTGTCTTTTTGTCCGATCTGAACACCAACACACTATCCACTGTGCCACACGCCGCTTGTGTGTATGTGTTTGTTTCCGCTTCAAACACAGACGACCAGCACAAGGTTGGGATCCTCACATGATTATTCACTGTCTTCAAAACAAAACACAGACGCCCTGACTGAGCTCCAACGTTCCACGCCTACAATCCCTTAATGCAGGGATGTCAAGCTCACGGCCTGGTGACCTCATGTTACGTGAAGCTGGCAAAGAATATCATATTCAATACAATTGGTGTAATCGTTGTTCATTTTGATCATCGCAGACACAACAACACAGACTATGCCAACACACCCCTTGTTGGAAGTGCATTCGACCAAGAAGATACAAACTTGAAGAAAACAGAATCATAAAGAACATTCATAGAGCTAAAACATTTAAAGTGCTACTCAACTGGTTTTAGATAACCAGTCCTTTATTAGTGTATAAGCGTTAGGGGCCGGGGGCAAGGCAGAGTCCATGGTGGGGCGAAGGCCACAGCGGGCGAACCCAGGGGGCCGAGCAGAGGGTGAAGGCAGCGGCAGAAGACAGGGGGGGTGTATATCAGTATGTAGTGTCTCTACTTTAAAGAGTCCTCTCCTGCTGATGTTCAGGTGTATATCAGTATGTAGTGTCTCTACTTTAAAGAGTCCTCTCCTGCTGATGTTCAGGTGTATATCAGTATGTAGTGTCTCTACTTTAAAGAGTCCTCTCCTGCTGATGTT